GCGACGACTCGTGAAGATATCGGAAGGCATAAAAAAGACTGTAGCGTCAGTGTAGGTGTTGCATGAAACTGGAACAAGTGCGAAGTTGTGAGGTGGAATATCGGTGTCTTCATGCACGAACAACTTCGGTGGCTGATGAAGAGCGTCCAAGTAATGGGACATCACAAAAAGGTGAAAACTCAACTTCAGCGCGTGCGCAGTCGATGACGGCATTATGGCGGGATAGGAAGTCCCATCCGAGGATGACATCATGCGAACAGACAGCGAGGACAATAAACTCCACAGTGTAAACAATGCCTTCGATGGACACTCTTGCAGTGCAGGCTGCGAGAGGCGTTACTTGCTGTGCACTTGCGGTGTGGAGTGACAGTCCCGAAAGCGGCGTCGTGACTTTACGTAATACACGGCAGACATTAGCGGCAATAACAGAAACAGCGGCGCCGGTGTCTACAAGGGCGAAAGTAGAATAACCTTCAACAGTTACTGCGACCACGTTAGCAGGAGAGGGGCGAGGGCTTAGACAGTTCGAAAATGGCGCAGTTCTTGCCTCTTGAACTGCGGTGCTTAGTTTTCCTGGTCAGAAGGTCTGGGCCGGCGACGCATGGGGGAGGGCGATCGCCGACGAGGAGAGGGTGCGCGCGGCGTCACGAAGTCGGGGTCGTTAGGAGGGGCATAGCGAGTTGACGAGACCGGCCCGTACTGCGCGAAGGGTTGGCTGCCGGGTTGCGACGATCGGACATAGTCGCCGAACGTCTGAGGTCGACGGCGGCAGTAGCGGGCAACGTGTCCGGGAGTAAAGCAGGCGTAGCATATCGGTCGGTTATCGGGCGTCCTCGAAGAATTGGCTACTGGTGGTGCCGCCCAAGGTGCCGCCCAAGGTGCCGTATAAGCAGCCGGGTGTGCGGGCTGTGAGCGCGAGGTGTAGGGTGGTTGCGGAAGCCTACGCACAGCGTCTGCATATGTGAACGGCGCTGCTACAGGCTGCATCACTTGCGAGCAGACGACAGGAGGAGCCACAGGCTGCGCTGCATACGTTAGGGGCGCGGCCACAGGCTGCGCGGCTGGCGGATAGGCGACAGGCGGTCCTACCGGCTGCGCGGCACGCTGGCAGTGGGCAAGGCTGGATAGAGGCGGCTCGTGGTGCGCAACAGGAACAGCTTGGGCAACTTCTTCCGAAATAGCAGTGCGAAGCGGGGCAGGTAGACGGGTGGTGGTCTCGTGAGTGAAGAGCACTAGGGAAAGTTGGCGGGCGACTTCCTCACGGACGAAGGCTCGAAATTGCTGAAGCAGTGGTGAATTGTCGGGCAGGGTGTCGAAACTGGACAGTGACTCACCACCATGCTGAGGCTGCCGAGTCAGAGTGCGTTTCTTCTTCAACTCGTCGTAGCTCTGACACAAGCTGACGACTTCGGAAACTGTGCTCGGATTTCTTGCCAAGAGCATTTGAAATGCGCCGTCGTCGATGCCCTTCAGGATGTTTTTGGACCTTGTCAGATTCGGGCATGGTGTCATTCACGCGTCGACAAAGGTCGACGACGTCCTCAATATAGCTGGTAAAGGTCTCGCCAGTTTGCTGAGAGTGGACGCGCAAGCGCTGTTCTGCCCTCTGCTTGCGGACAGCTGGCCGACCGAACACTTCAGCACATGACGTCTTGAAGACGCTCCATGTGGGGATGTTGTGTTTGTGGTTATTAAACCACAATTCGGTGACGCCAGTGAGATAAAATATCACGTGGCCCAGCTTGTCGGCTTCATCCCACTTATTGCTGGCGCTCACCAGTTCGTTGTGCTCGAGCCAGTCTTCGACGTCGGTCCCATCCGCACCGCTGAAGACCTTCGGCTCCCGTAGCCTACGATGGCCAGGGCAGTTGAACTGGAGCGAAGGCGTCGATGTAGTGGCGTTGGTAGTCATGACAGGTGGTAGCGTGCGGCTTCGCAGCTCCAGGATGTAGCAACGGGGATTAACAGCACCTTCCACCAAATGTGAGGAGGTTTATTAGCCGTTAAAGACAGCGACAAGACAGCGTGAAGAACCGTCCAGCGATCGGCACAGCAACGAACCGAAACACGAGCCGAGAGAGCCGGACGTTGGCGATGCTGCTTGCTGCAGGCACATCTTCTTCTTTACAAACAAACAAACAAACAAGCAAACAAACAAACAAACAAACAAACAAACAAACAAACAAACAAACAAACAAACAAACAAACAAACAAACAAACAAACAAACAAGCAAACAAACAAACAAACAAACAAAGAAGCAAACAAGCAAACAAACGAGCAATAAACAAGAAATTTAGTGCTGATAAGTACTATATATGAAAACAAATTGAAATATTACCTTTCAGTAATGTAAGAAATAGTGCTTTTTTAGAGGAAATTATAATTTTTTTTTTTCGCGAATATTGTTTGTAAGAACGCGCTCAAAAGACGGGGTGTACAAACCGAGACACAGAAGAGAAATCGAGACCCCAGAAATGGCGTCGTCAAACAACCTTTCTTTTTAGCACGAATACCTACCAAATATAGTTTTCCCCTATGTTATTATATCAAGGCACCTGTAGCGGGAAATCCTGCGTTTACGAGGAGATGTCATTGGAATGGAGGCACTTACTTTTGTTCCTAGCGGAGGCGTGCTTGTCTTTTTGGCTCACTTTGGTGTTAGCTGGAGCACAAGACTTTCCAGGCGTTGTATGTACCAACTGACTTGGCGCGCCAAAAGAGCTTCATTTAAACTGTGTCGAAGCACGCCATCCGTCAGTCCGGCATATGACTATCAATAGATATAAAACCGTGGCCTACAGAGTTATTTAATCGCACGAGTTGCGAAACTTCCCGTGGGCTCCATGTATAGAATTCTCCCACTGCCCCACTCCCTGTCGGGAGTGCGAAGATTGTCGCGTCACCTATTGATCAGCACGCCCACTATTAAACGCATTATTTGTGTTGTGTATTGTCACTCCTAGGGTGGCGCGACAATCAGCTAATTTCTGAAAAATTAAGCCAACTGCGTGTTTGGATTTCGGAACGCAGTTTCGCAACTGGTATGATTGAATAACTCTGGTGACCTGCTGTCACAAAACGAGCGCTCAAAAAGGGCGCGCCGCCAAATTCTCGCGATAAAGTGCGGGAGAGACGCCTCGAGGTCAAGAATAAAAGAAAAAAAAGAAGAAAACAAGAATCCAAAGACTCCCCGGGCGTGCGTCCCCCTCCCTCGGAAGCGTAGGTGCGCCGACGAAACCTCCTCGCATCGGCGGCCGAGCAAGCCCAAGAACGCTCTCGATGGAAAGGGGCGTGGTGATGCAGGGTTGCGTCATCCGTCGCGGTTGGCCCTCGTACTGTCTCGCCCTTTCCCCAGCCTTCGCTGCGTATCGCGCCGACGAAATTATGAGAACTTTCTGGAATCTCGCGCGGAAGGTATTTAATCGAGCAGTCGAGATGGGAGATCAGGAGAAGAAGGAAGTTAGCGCCAGTGTGCGTGGGGTATTCCACCGCGTCTGTCGGTGAAGGTTTTGTCCTTAGTGACAAAGCAGGAGAAGAAGAAAGTATGCGCTACAGTGCGTAGGGTGTTCCGCCTTGTGGGCGAAGCCTTTTGTCTTCCGTAACAAAGGAGGAGAAGAAGAGGATTTCCACCTGAGGGGTGAAGACCGAGCTACAGGCAAGAGTGTGTGTCTACCGCTATCGAGCGAAGACGCGTGGCAACAGTTGCATGTGTGAAGCCGACGTGTTTCGGCGAAGAAGTTTGGAGCCTGGAGAGCGGTCAATTGAAGACGCGAGGTTTTCTGGAAGAGAAACTTCGGGGGCAGCGGAACGACAACAACGCTGGACTTTGAGTGAGTGATTCTCGGAAGAGTATCATCCAGAATTTTGTTCCAAGAACTTTGGACTGAATAAGTTTTCCAACTCTTTAGTCTTTAAGTGTCTTGGTTGTTCGATGCATGCGACTGCATTGTAGTGCGTATTGCTGTCTGTGTCCGTTGTTTCGAGTGTGGCTGATTGTACTGTGTAGTACGTTGTTTGATTGGTGACATATTGTATTCCACAATTGTCGAGTGTGCATACTTGTGTATCGTTTTGATCTGCCATAGCTGAGAATATAATTTTGTTTTGTTTATCAACTCTCGGCTCTGACTTGTTCTTTGGGCCACAGCCGGCGTCCGCTGGCGCGCCAAATAGGACCACTTCTAAATTGTCCACGCTTTCGTGGTGTGGTTCGGGGGGCCGATACTTCGACCCTTGGAATTAGCCCGGCGATTGCCTCCCTAATTAATGTGATCCGTGACACCTGCGCTGCCGCAGTGCGTCGTCGCACTGCTAATGGTAATCTCAGCCTTCTCGTTCGTCAGAAGAGGGCGCCGCAGCTGGCATGTACGTGTGTGTGTACATGCCATGTGTGTGGAGCGCTGTGTGTTTGATGCATGGGTGTGTGCGTGTGTGAGTGATCGTGTCAAGTTTTCGCGCTCTAATTAACTTTTCGAAATGGCATGTACGTGTCGCCGAGTCACGCTGAGGACAACCATCGCATCCGCTCATGTAAAGACCTTTTTTAACTACCGTAACAGGCATGCCTGCCAAATCTGCTCGCTGTAATAGTACGAAGTAAGACTCCAAACTCTACCGAAATATAGTTAGCGTAGCAGATACGCGTCATCAAGGTAATCGGGACATTACTTGGTGAAATGAGTGCTTGACGAGTGAAATTTGATGGATGTCAACGCAAAAGTTATTCCATTTTCGCAAGTCATCCGCCATGTACTCGAGACAGAATATGTATTGCACGATGTCAGTTCACGTTAAAGAACAGCAGATGGTCAAAATTTCCGGAGCCCTCCACTAAGGCGTCTCTCATAAAAACATCGTGGTTTTGGCACGTAAGACCCCAGATATTCTCTTCATCAATGGGTGCGAGTTCGGAGGAGCCGGCAGACTTGCGCAAGTCATCCTTTTTGGTGCCACAAGACTCACTGGGATGCCGGATGACTGAGCACGCATCACGCTCACGACCCTTAGTTTAAGATATTTATTTCACTACAAAAAACTACAGGCTTGCTATGGGAAAAAAGAAAAAAAAATCTGGAGCTTTTAGCTCACGCAGATGAATTGCACTACATCCTGAATTCGGGTACATTCATTCCTTCCTCAATCTATTCGTATCTTCAACAGACCTCCTCTGCTTTACCGCAGTTTTCGCCTTCGTTTACGTATGTCACGTTCTTTCCGGAACATTCCTTCATCTTTTCGATGCACGGTTCGTAGTCGTCCTTTCCTGCGTCGAGACTTTTGATAACGTAGTAATTTCCACCTAGCAGGAAAAAGAGGAAGAAGCAACGAATGCAACTGTAACGTCAGAACTAGCAGCTGCGTCATCATCGGCACCCCACGCATGCATTTCTGTGGCTGACACGAAGAGACATTGGCACATGAAAACTAAATTAACGCTTCGATGAAAACAGCACGGAGAAGAGATGGGAGATGCAGCTCACAATGCACTATGAAGGCACTCAGGATCTATACCTTAGTAAGAAGAAACAAAATCAAAGCACGACACAGCCAAGAACAGCCATTGACTCGGTGTCGTGGGATTCCATTCGAAAAGAAAATGCTAAAAGGTGTTAACTTGGGCTGGTCGGTGCGTGCTGGATGATTCGATAACAACGCAAGGACGGGACAAACAGGGTGATACGAACGAAGCGCTTCCTTTGCGTCAGTGTCTGCTGCAGGTTGGCGACCCAACCCGTGAGTCGACTCACTCGAGCTTACTCATGAACAGGCTCACTCGAACTCAGACCGGAACGCCAGTTTGAGCTCGAGTGAGTCCTGGCGATTGACATTTTGGTGAGTTTGAGTCCAAGCGAGTCCGGCTGAAGAAAGTTTTCGTGAGTGCGAGTACCAGTGAATTCGCCTCAGAAAAAGTTTGGCGAGTCTGAGGGCGAGTAAGCCCCATGCGCAAAAGTTACTTCGTGAGTTTGTATGAGTGAGTTATACATTTTTTTCCCCGCTCTCATCTTCAGCAGTACCATCGGCCTTACTTGGATTCAGCATTTAGGCTCACGTCTGTTCACACGTATTCCAAAGCAGTGTCGTTCATACACCATATAAATACCTATTGATCACAGGAGCGTAATACGTAGGGAGGAAGTGTCCTTGATCTCTTCCGGCCACCTATCCCTAGAAAGTTATCGATAAATAGATCTTTTGTTGTACCTCTTTTTTAGAAAAAAAATGACCTTACTAGTTTGCGAACACTCATCACTCACATTAAAGAGTATATCAAGGGCACCAAGCAGGGTACCGATTACGTGATACACTAGGGTTAAAGAGCATTGCCACTATGGTGGGAAAGTTAACTCTGGGCTGACGGGATCATGAATCGACCAAATCAGACTCATTAACACTCAGATCAAGCTACGAGTCTGAGTGAGTGCGGGTGAGTAATGTTTCGGTGAGTTTAAATCCGAGTGAGTTCGGTGGAGGAAGATTTTTTTTTTGTGAGTGTGAGTGCGAGGTAGTCCGGATCGGGAAAGCTTTGATGAATTCTAAGTCTGAGGGAGGCTGAAGCGCGAAATATACTTCATGCGTGAGTCTGAGGGAGGTCCAAAAGTTTTGCCCCACCGATGGTCTCTCCAGTCCTCACGGTGTTACAAGCCGAGGGTATCGCTAGGCAGGTCTCGCAGAATATAAGTAAATGACAAGAAGGGAGAGTGGAATAGAGAGGGGGAGATTTATGCAGCACCATTTTGCATACTCACCGTTTTTCCATTCACTTCGATACTTGAGAAGAAAACAACTTCCTTCGTTTCTGAAGATCGGCGTGAACTGCCATTTTTTGTTGGGATGTGTTATAGCTACACAAGGAAAAAAAAAAAAAGGCACCGTATTTCAGAATGACTCGGTGAAAAACACTCCCTCATCAGTGAGAGGTCACCGCGTGAAAAAGACGCGGTTCACGAACTTTGTTTAGTCAGTTTTAGCTACATCCTTTTCCGTGCTGCCGAATCGGGAGGTAGCGCACTTTTTATGAGCATAAAAGTGCCGAGAAAGGCCCAACACTCACCACATTCGCAACTACTGCCCTCACGAAATGGGCTCTACTTCACCATACGGCACGATGATCAGTCCCGAACTTGCCAGGCGTTCAATGCTATTTATCCAGCTCCTCCCCTGTACTTCCTTAGCCGCACGGCTATTGTTTTCGCGGTGTCTTCCATGCCTTGTACGCGCATTGAGGCTGTGTGCATAGTTTCAGGTCACTGCGGATATCTCGCGCATCGGTGTAGAACACCGTGGAAATGAAAACAAAAAGAAGTGACCAACGAATTGATTGAACTGATACTAGATGAGCATAACACCGCATTTGCAGACTCGATTTCCATTGGATACCAGCGTCGTATTTCTCATTTTTCGTTGGCGTGAGTACAGAGTAGTACTCTTCCAGAAAACCGGGTTAAGTACCCGTTCCGGCTGTGCGAAAAGCCTGACAAACGTTAAAAGCAAACGTAAAACATTATGAAATGGGTTAAACAAAGACTTATATATGCTAGAATGTACACCAACGTGAGTTACAAAGTATAATTGGTGTTCCATATTAAGTAGACATCGATACAAACAGTAAATACATCTCACAAACTCGTAGGAATGAAACACTTTGAGGCACCTGAAGACTCAGGTCTCACTCATGCCCTTCATTTTACGCAGGATGGGAAACGCGCGATACATACGGTTCATCTAAAGCAGCGGTTTCAAACTCACTCCAGCTACAGGGAGCTCACTAAAATAAATTTAGTCCCGTAAAGGGCCGGGACAGTGAGTAGGTGAGAATTAGGACGGGGGAGGGGGGGGGGATTGGATTACCCGAACAAAACTTGAGCTGAAGTTGCTGTTTTTCCATATAGTATGTATAGGTCGTTTTTTTTTAAAGATTCAGCATCAGGTATCGAGTTGCATACTGATACCGATTTTCATTAACTGATGAGACCGTGTCGGGCTCTTGACCAGACACCAACAGTGGAACTGTTGTCACAAGAATGGTTATAGCCTTTTTGGAAGCAACTGGACTATATGTGCGGCTATAAAATATGTCTCAGATAGAAAGAATTCTACATACTCACCTCTCTACCTCACCATCGTCATTCATTAGTCTTTCTTCTCCCCTTTCCCCTCCCCCAGTGTAGATTAGCAGGCTAGAGCAAGCTATCGCCCAGGCCAACCTCTCTGCCTTTCTGTAAATAAAGCTATCTCTCTTTCTACGCCGATTTACGCAATGACTAAAAGCTGGACGCTGAAAATGATTGATAGAGTATTTCTGCCGCACTTTCTTTTTTTCAAAACGAGGTGCCATAAACAACATGAGGTACCTGAAAAAATGTATATGCTAGCTCGAACCTGACAGCACAACTCTGGGCCGTCCAGCGTGCCGAGGAAGCCGCTTCGAGACAAGGTCTCGGAACCTCATCCGCGGTGGGTGCCCAGGCCCATCTAAAAAACGCCGGACTCGAATCGTCTGGATTCGACAAATAAAGTTTATGTTCTTCTTCTTGAGATCATTCATGTCAAGTTGTGTAGCTTCTCCGTACAATCAGTTATTTATTGTTCGTGAATATGAGAAAATAATGCGACAACGATTTATCAATGTCACGAACAGTCATATTGTCAAAAAAAAAAAACAACAACCTGGAATGAAGACTCGTGTGCGTGCCGCGGCCAGAGTGGAGACGTCGGAGGGCCGCGCGGGTAAAGCCCCTGAACTAAAGAATACACCATCGCACATGAACGCCGCATGGGACATATACTAATACAGTCGTTGTGCTTTTGCGTCTCACAACCACCGTGTCGTTATGAGGGACGCCGTAGAAAAGAGCTCGTATACGGCTAAATAAGTATGCGGACCACCAGCAACTGGCCTGCATTGAAAATGCAGCCGCCAAGGCCGGGGTCCTAGGCCGCCACCTTCAAGTCAGCAGTCGAGCAAAATAACTATATTTGGCTATCGAGGCTGGTCTTCTGTGAACCACAGAGGGCTCGGCTGGGAAACCGAAGCTAAACGTGGCCCACTTACACATTAAGTTGGAATACCAAATGCCAGAACGGAGGAGTGTTTACTTCTCGTAGAGCGTGCAACCAAGGTATGTGAATCAATTCAACGTAAGAGCGTTAGAGAGCTAGATTTCAGGAAATTCTTGTGTAGGCGACGGTGTCTTTGGTTGCCTCCGAAAAAAATCAACGTTGCCCGTGAGTGATAGCGAGAAGTAGATGCAAACAAAGAAGTAATAAATTATAAAGAAAAAACTCCCAAGCATTTCCCCGAGGGTGAACATGGTTAAGTGCGAACGCACGGGGTGATGCTATGAGGGGTAGTAAAGTTAAAATTCGTTGGCATTCGCCAGTGAGTTAACGTGAATTCCCCCGCGTGATCACATTGCGATTCCCAGGAACCATTAGACCCTCTCAGAAGACCTTGGTGAGTTGACGCGTATATGTGCGAGTAAGTTCGCACTGTAATGATGTTTATGTCCGCGGCCCGCTTCGCCCGCTTGCGCTCAGCATCACGGGCCCTTCGCCGCGCTGCCTTGTCTTCAACCGGCGCGACATCTTCAACGACGCGTGCAATGCTCGCATACGATTTCGTTGTACTCGTAGTTGGAGGTATTGCAGTCGAGGTTGATGCCTGCGATGGATCCATACCTATGACGACTTGCCGATCTCGAGTAAGTCGTGGCTGTCCAGATCTATCCATCTATCTATCCATCTATCTATCCATCCATCCATCTATCTATCCATCTATCCATCTATCCATCTATCCATCTATCCATCTATCCATCTATCCATCTATCCATCTATCCATCTATCCATCTATCCATCCATCTATCCATCTATCCATCCATCTATCCATCTATCCATCTATCTGTCCGTCCGTCCGTCCGTCCGTCCCTCCGTCCGTCCGTCCCTCCGTCCGTCCGTCCCTCCGTCCGTCCGTCCGTCCCTCCGTCCGTCCGTCCCTCCGTCCGTCCGTCCGTCCGTCCGTCCGTCCGTCCATCCATCCATCCATCCATCCATCCATCCATCCATCCATCCATCCATCCATCCATCCATCCATCCATCCATCCATCCATCCATCCATCCATCCATCCATCCATCCATCCATCCATCCATCCATCCATCCATCCATCCATCTATCTATCTATCTATCTATCTATCTATCTATCTATCTATCTATCTATCTATCTATCTATCTATCTATCTATCTATCTATCTATCTATCTATCTATCTATCTATCTATCTATCTATCTATCTATCTATCTATCTATCTATCTATCTATCTATCTATCTATCTATCTATCTATCTATCTATCTATCTATCTATCTATCTATCTATCTATCTATCTATCTATCTATCTATCTATCTATCTATCTACGGCTTAAGCTCTCCTGGTCGTTCCGATAATGGTATCGATAGCAAACTTGGTATGGCATAACATGACTGTATGACGAGCATATATGACTAGTGACAACATGAAAATCATGACATATATGTCGTGAATGTCATGATTTAAATTTCGTGGTTCTGATATTCTTGCGGTGGTTTCGTTCCCATGTCAAGTTGCAAAAGTGGTATGGTATGACATGATTGCACGTGTCATGTAACAACATGACTACATGCCACAGTCGTGATGCGCAGACCTCTACTCTATCATTTCACCTCAATCGAAATGCGGCCCCGCCGCGGTGGTCTAGTGGCTAAGGTACTCGGCTGCTGACCGGCAGGTCGCGGGTTCGACTCCCGGCTGCGGCGGCTGCATTTCCGATGGAGGCGGAAATGTTGTAGGCCCATGTGCTCAGATTTGGGCGCACGTTAAAGAACCCCAGGTGGTCAAAATTTCCGGAGCCCTCCACTATGGCGTCTCTCATAATCATATGGTGGTTTTGGGACGTTAAACCCCACAAATCAATCATCAATCAATTGAAATGCGATCGCAGCGGCTGGAATCTAACCCGCGACTTTCTGGTCTGGTTACACCGCAGCGGACGAGGCGCATTATGAATCAGCCTGAATTCCACTCAGGCAGGCCGACGGAGACAGCCTTGTCATGTCAAAAGGAACTAATAATTGATAACATTGGCGCGGGAAAACTAACTCTAGGTATGTTTATAGGCAATAGCAATGCATTCGATTGTTTAAATCGAGAAATTTTAACTAGACTGCTATAGACGCCCATGGAATCCGTGGCGTTGCAAACTTGTTGTTTTGATCGTGCCTTTCGGGAGGAATCCAGTGCATCGGTATTGAAAAATTGTGCTCCTCATATCGTGAAATTAAAGCGGGAGTTCCGCAGTGCAGAGCATTGGGACTAACCTCATTTGTTGTTCGTGTGAAAGATATTGCTGTAATCGTTAGTGATGCATCCATTGTGCTGTACACTGAGGATACAGGTTTGTTTGTTGCTGCTTAATAATATTTGGATGATTTGTTGCATAAATATAGCATTATTCTTTCTCATCTGTGAGCGTGTTCTCCTAATAATGCGTCAATAATTATTAGATCAAAATCAAAGGTCACATTATTGAAGGCTAGAGGCAGGTGGTGTTATTTCAATGAGGAATCATTTTGGGATGCTGCTGCTATTGCCATTCGGAGGAAATACAAAGAATTAGGTGTTACGTTTTCAGAAAATATGAATTGGACCCATCTTGTTGAAATAGTCGCGATGTCATTGTAACGAGCCACTGGTGTGCTGTATCACTGTCGGCATTTTTTTTTCCAGAGAGGGTAAAATTTAATATACAGGTTGTTTCAAGAAATGTGTACACTATTATAAAAAAAACAAACAAACAGGAAGGAGGTACCAG